AAACGGGCACATCGTTTGAACGTTTTTCAATGGTTATGTGGTGCAGCATTTCATAAAATAACAACACCCAACTGCGCGTCATTCGATCATCAAACCTCGTTTCATAACCGAGGATTGCAACATCAACAATTGTTTCAACAATGTTTCAACATTCTTTGATCTTAGAATATTCCGATACTTTTTTTCTGACTTGCCTACAGCGGTACAACAAAGGTTTATGCGTCAAGGCTAAACAGCTACGGGTCATGACTAAACCATTACGGTTTTCAGCTAAATGATTGTGGGCTCTGGTTGAAGAACTGCTGTTTTTGGCTAAAGGATTACGGGTGGAGGTATTGCGGGTTTTGGCTAAAGCTCGGTGCAAAAAGGTATATACAATTCATTTCAGCTGAGTCTCAAGGTCCTCACGCAAACGGATGAGACCTGGCAAAAAAGAACTACTACAAACCAATACCGAGAGGGTATGGATTTTAATGAAAAAAGCCATTTTGGCATGGAATTGGAATTTCACGGTGCGTTTGGGAACGTGTTTTCAGCATATATCGTCCCTTCTTTGTTTGTACCACAGCACAACACGTCTGTCAGCTTTGAACGGTTTTCTCAAACAAAGAAAGAATTCTCCGATCGTTAAACCAGTCAAAAACGGAATTTGTGTCAACAAATACGGACATATTATTGTCAAACCAACTGGGAATCGTTTCACCGAAGTGTGTGGGATCATCAACTGATAAGGTTATTTCACCAGTGCTGTCCAATTATCGATCGTCATACGTTTTGAATCAGTTTGGTTTGTACTGAAAAGCATTAATTAAACAACGCCTCCGTTCGTATGTGATGAACCGGAAGTCACTTTATTTCCACTTTGACCGTTTTCTCCCGTGTGTGGGGAAGGGACAGAATCCTCTTTTTCTTTCACGATCTTCAAATCAACCTGAATGTGTGCAACGCAGTGCCGTAGAAATCACAACTGAGCAGTCACGGGGTCTACGAGGACCAAATTATTGCAAGTTCATCAGTTGGTTTCACGTGGCAAGTATGTACGCGCGCGTACACACACAGAGGAACCTTGTGAAAACAAACACGCATGCACATTGACACCGCCTGTCGACTAAGTGCAACTCTGAAATTAGCTGGAAAAAAGGCATGAGTTTCATTATCATCATCATCATCCGAACCATTATCCGAATCATCATCATAATCATCATCATCATCATCATCCGAATCATCATCATCATCAACGTCATCATTCGAATAATTATCATCATCATTATCATCCGGTTTATAGTCATCATCACCATCATCATCATCATCATCATCATCATCCGAATCGATCATCATCATCATAATCCTAATCATCATCATCATCATCATCATCATCCGGATCATCATCGACATCCGATTCATCACCATCCCAATCATCATCAACAACATCCGAATCATCATCATCATCAACATCATCATCGTCAGCATCATCCGAATCAACAACATCATCGTCATCATCATCATCATTATTTAATCCGGATCATCATCATCAGCATCATCATCATCATCATCATCATCATTATCATTACGAATCATCATCATCATCATCGTCGTCATCATCATCATCATCCGAATCATGATCATCATTCAAATCATCATCATCATCATCATCCTCCTCCTCCTCCTCCTACTCCTCCTCCTCCTCCTCCATCATCATTGCCATTATCATCGTCATCATCATCATCTTCATCATCATCATGCCATCATCAACATCATCGTCATCTTCCGAATCATTATCATCATCATCATGATCATCATCCGATCATCATCATCATCATCATCATCATCATCCGAGTCATCATCCGAATCCTCATCATCATCTATCATCATCTGAATCATCATCATCCAAATCATCATCATCATCATCATCATCATCATCATCCGCATCATCAGCATTATCATCATCATCATCATTCGAAACATCATCATCGTCAACATCATTGTCATCATCATCATCATCATCATCATCGTCATCATCGTCATCATCATCATCATCATCATTTTTCATCATCATCATCATCATCATCATCATCATCATCATCATCATCATCATCATCATCATCTTCATCATCATCATCATCATCATCATCATCATCATCATCATCATCATCATCATCATAATCCCATCATCATCATCATCATCATCATCATCATCATCATCATCATCATCATCATCATCATCATAATCATCATCATCATCATCATCATCATCATCATCATCATCATCATCATCATCAGCATCATCCGCATCATCATCATCATCATCATCATCATCATCATCATCATCATCATCATCACCATCATCCCATCATCATCATCATCATCATCATCATCATCATCATCATCATCATCATCATCATCATCATCATCATCATCATCATCATCATCATCATCATCATCATCATCATCATCATCACCATCATCATTCGAATCATCATCATCACCATCCGAATCATTATCATCATAATCATCAAAATTATCATCATCATCTTCATCACCATCATCATCATCATCATCATTCGTATCATAATCATCATCATCATCATCATCACCATCATCATCATCATCATCATTCGTATCATCATCATCATCATCCGAATCATCATCATGCGACTCATCATCATCATCATCATCATTCGAATCATTATCATCATCATCATCCGAATCATCATCATCATCATTATCCTCATTCGAATCATCATCATCCTCATCACCATCATCATCATCATCATCATCATCATCATCATCATCATCATCATCATCATCATGCGAAACATCACCATCATCATCATCATCATCTTCATCATCCGAATCGTCATCATCATCATCTTCATCATCATCATCAATCGAATCAACATCACCATCATGATTCGAATCATCATCATCGACATCCGAATCATCATCACTAACGTCATCCGGGGAATCATCATCATCATCATCATCATCATTTGAATCGTAATCATCATCATGAGTTGAGTCGTCATGATCATCATCAGCATCATTATCATCATCATCAGAATCATGATCATGATCATCTTGCGAATCATTAACATCATCATCATCATGGAAATCATCATCATCTTCATCATCATCATCATCATCGTCAACATCCTATGCATCATCATCATCATCCGAATCGTCATAATCATCAGCATCATCATCATCCGAATCATCATCATCGTCATCATCATCATCAACATCATCATCCGAATCATCATCATCATCATCCGAATCATCAACATCATCGTCATCATCCGAATCGTCATTATCATCATCATCATCATCTTCCGAATCATCAACATCATCATCATTAACATCATCCGAGTCATCATCTTCATCATCATCATCATCATCATACGAATCATGAGCAACGTCATCTTTATCATCATCGTCCGATTCGTCATTATCATCATCATCATTATCATCATCATCAACATCATCATCATCAT